ACCTTTACTCTATCTGAAGATAAATGAAAAAATATCCTCAGGTGAGGATTAAAAAAACAAAGTCTCCTACATTCATTTCCTCCTCTTCATCTTTCAAACCTAGCTCAAATTCTACCATGCCAAAAATGCCATTTAGCCAGGAAATAACATTGTAGATCTAGGCTAACACTGTTAACCACTAGCCACATGTGGCTAATGAGCACTTGTAATGTAGCTAGTCCAAATCAGATGTGCAGTAAGTGTAAAATACACACTTGATTTGTATTTTAGTGCCCCAAAAAAATTAGTACAAAAAAAAAGGTAAAATACCTCTTTAATAATTTTAAAATATTGATTCACATAGAAATAATATTTTGGCTATACTGAGTTAAATGATATGTATTACAAAAATAAATTTCACCAGTATCTTTCTACAGTATGGCTACTAAAAATTTTAAATCACACGTGTAGCTTATATTTGTTTTATGCAGCATTGTTCTAGATCTCCAACTCAGGCCATTCTCTTCAGGCTACTGAATCATCTCTCTCAAACTCTGCCTCCTGCCATACACTCCTTGTTCTACCACGTGGAATCTTTGCCCTAATTACATTATTCTGTTTTGTGTCTCCTTGCCTTTTTACATACTATACTGACCATCATGTACTTTCTTTATGAAAAGAATGTTATTTCCTCAGCTCTATAGGAGAAATCCCTAGTCATCTTTCCAGAACAAGTTCATTGGTCCCCTCCCTTCTGAAGCTTTTCTAGATCCCTCATCTTCCCCCATTCCTTTCAGCACTTGGTCATCTCCACTTCAGGATGGTAGCTGTTTATTCATGATTTTCTCCCTCTACAATTTATCAAACCCCTTCTCATTTTAATATCTTCAGAACCAAGCATGTTGAAATTTTCCACAATCACATGGGCGATTTTAAAAAACTTGCCCATGGAGGGCCTTGTCAAAAGTTTTTTTGTTTGTTTGGGCGGGGGGGTGTCTTCTGGTGAGAACTGTAAAGCCTGCTAGACAACTTAAAAAGAGCTGTAGCCCGGCTGGTGTGGCTCACTGGTTGAACGTTGACCCATGCACCAAAAGGTCGCCCATTCGATTCCCAGTCAGGGCACATGCCCAAGTTGTAGGCAAAATCCCCAGTGCGGGGCATGCAGGAGGTGGCCAATCGATGTTCTCTCTCATTGATGTTTGCCCCCCTCTCCCTCTCCCTTCCTCTCTCTCTCAAATCAATAGAGAAAAAAAATAAAAAAAGAGCTGTAAGGTTCTGGCTGGTGTGAGTCAGTGCAGTGTCAGCCCTTCTACAGAAGAGTCTCAGGTTTGATTCCTGGTCAGGAACACATACCCAGGCTGCAGGTTCAGTCCCTGGCCCTGTCAGGGTGCATTCGGGAGGCAACCAACCAATGTGTCTCTCTAACATCTCTCTCTCTCTCTCCCCCCACCCCTTTCTCCTCTCTCTAAAAATCAATAGAAATAATATCTTCAGGTAAGGGAGGAACAAAAAAGCTGTAAGTACTCCAAACAACTTTTTTTTTAACCCTCACCCAAGGATATGTTTATATTGATTTGTTTAGAAAGAGAGGAAGGGAGAGAGATAGAAAAAAATTCCATGTGAAAGAGAAACATTGATGGGTTGCCTCCCATAAGCACCCTGACTGGGTATCAAACCCACAACATAGGTATGTACTCTGACTGGGTATTGCACAGGAATCAAATCCAAAACCTTTTGGTGTAAAGGACAATACTCCAACTAACTGAAACACCTGGCCAGGGCTCAAACAACTTTTATTTTCTTTATTGATTTTTAGAGATAGAGGAACAGAGGGAGAGACAGAAACATCGATGAGAGAGAACATTGATTGGTCGCCTCCAGCATGCCCCCCAACTGGGGATTTGGCCCATAAACTGGGCATATGCCCTGACCAGGAATTGAACCAGCGACTTCTTGGTGCATGAGTTGATGCTCAACCATGGAGCCACATCGGCTGGGCTCAAACAACTATTAAAAGCTCCTCAGGTGATAACATTATAAACAAGCAACAGCTAACATATATTAAACACTCACCAGAGGCCAGGTACTAAGCTTAGTCATGTATGTGCTCCCTCTCACTAAATTTCCTCATTGAGGCCTTTACTGTCACTCCAAGAGGAACAGGTACCTTTCCTTGACTGGTTCTGAAACTTGAACCTGGTTAAGAACCACTGCCTGGCATAGAGCAGGCACTCCAAAAATGTCTGAGTTAACAGAGTCTGGATAATTCTTACTGAAGGAAAACGAGGATTCGGTTTTTTTTTGGTACATGCCCCTAGCGGGAACTGAATCCAGGACTCTCTGGTCCACAGGCCGATGCTCCAACCACTGACCAAACCGACCAGGGCAAATGACTCTTTTTCAATTAAAAAGTTTGTATTATGCCCTGGCTGGTTTGGCTCAGTGGTTAGAGTGTTGGCCTGCGGTCCAGTGAGACCCAGGTTCAGTTCCTGCTAAAGGCATGTACCTCAGTTGCAGTTTGTCCCTGGCCCTGGCTGGATCGTGCGGGTGGCAGCTACTCCATGTGTGCCTTTTACATTGATGTTTCTTTCTCTCTCTCTCTTCCTCTCTCTCCCTCCCTCTCCCTCCCACTCTCTCTGAACAAAAAATGGAAATAATGTCCTTGGGTGAGGATAAAAAAAAAAAAAAAAGAAGAAACTGTACTAGTCCCCTGCTTCAAAACATTGGCTCAAGCTATAGTACGCTCCTTGCTGTTCCCTGAACTTCACCAGACACATATCTTGCTGTTTTCAGAAAACTTTTTCTCAAACTTCCTTCAAGTCTGCTCAGATGTCACCAATACCCTGGCCATCTTATTTAAAATTGTAATCCTACCACAAGCTCCCACATCCCCTCCTCAATCCTCTTACCTTTTCTACTTTCAATTATTTTTCTGAGGTCCTGTCACCGTCTAGGATACCATATAATTTTTCTGTCTACTCCTTCTAGGATGTGAGCTCCAGAAAAGAAGAGACCTTTATAAATTTTGTTCACTAATGTATCCCAGTCACCTAGAAAACTGTCTCAATACATCATTGGGTTCAACGACTATCTGCTGAATGAATACATAAAGGAATAAATGGATTACCAAGGCCAAAAGCAAAAAGTCCAAAGTCCTTTCTATTCTCATTTACCCATTGCCTACAACCCATGCCCACTGTCACATGGGACAGTGGTTTCATGAAAATGTCCCTCATCTTCTTACCTCCCAACTCCCCTGACCTACAATCAGCTCGACCTTGATCCCCTTCAATTTCACCTGCTTAGATTCTGCTCCTACTCAAAGATGTCTCCACTGACTTTCCCAACGGCAGGATTTCCTCTTCCCTCTTTGTACTCACAACAGCCTCTGGATCTCTGCAACAACACTTGACACCACCTTTCTTGTGCTCTACTTCAATATGAGGCTGTCTTCCCTCACTAATTAACTTTCTGGATAAGTTGTCACATGACTCAATTACTCATCTCTTGCATTCCCAAGGGCCATGCTCAGTGAAAGGGAACCACTGACAAAGGGAAATTTCTACCTAAAAAGCCTCTGTTGTCCAGCAGGTGTGGCTCAGTGGATTGAGCATCCTCCCATGAACTGAGAGGTCCCATTTTAATTCCTGGTCGGGGCACAGGCCCAGGTTGTAGGCTCCATCTCCAGAAGGGGGCATGCAGGAGGCAGCCAATGATGTTTCTCTATCCCTTTCTCTCTTTGAAAAAAAAAAGCCCCTGTTGTAGGTTCACTGTTCTGTTCGGTCCTTCAGCTGAAGTTCAGTAACCATCAGGCCATTCAATGAGAAATATATAAATAAACCAGAGTGCTTGGGGAATGTGCTTTAAAAGTGAAGCTTAAAGCAGTCTCTAAAACTCACTGCTCAGAACACAGATACACTTTCACCATTAAAAAGGCAACCCACATCTGTGGAAAGGATCATCACCCCCATGAGGTGTTAAGTCATCCTAATTCTCACAGCCTATTGAGACAACACTTTGCATAGAAAGGTGCTGATGACAGTGATTTGCTCTGGCTCGCCTCAAACCCAATAACTGTCTTATTCTAATGTTTTTACTCGTCTTATTCCTTAAGGCTCACCCCTGTAAAACAAAAACATGTAACAGGAAGTAGCAGATATACAGGCATCTTATATCACTTATATGGTGTGTTAAATTTACTGTAAAATGCTTTTAAAGGACATTACTAGTTGGCATTTTTACCTGGATTACTCTTGTCTCACACACAGAGCCATTAGAATCTGATTTTCCCTTAATTCTAAAGAGGGTGTGGATTAAAATACCATCTCGGCCTTGATATATTTGCACCTATATGCTCTATGTAAACCAGTGAACAACCTCAGAGTTGTGATGCTCAGAATACCTTCTCCCTAACAAGAACAAATGGGTTCACAATTCATCTTCATACTCATTACACTGAAGGCTGGACATCTGCGGATGTGCACTACTATACCTTCTTAAAGCAGAAAAAGACATGAAAAGTTATGAGACAAGGCTCCCCCCCCCCCCCCCTTGCCCAAGAAAGCCTGTCTCCAGCCTCTTCTGCTGCAAATCCAGACCAAGCTTCTTAGGACCCTTAGGTTTGTGCATGGCTCCTGGGTCAGAAGCTTGGCTCCTCTCTCCTTCACTCACTCACTGGCAGTCACTTCCTCTAGTACAGCTGTCTATCCTGTAACCCCACCCTCTCCATTCCTTATTGACAAGAGTTCAAGGAACTGGTTTAGGACATGCATTTTCAACATTGATACTTTCCAACACATCTACTCTTAACTCCTCCCAGAAGACCGCACGGCCCTGTTCCCTTCCTCCCCCCACTACAGTCCCCCTTTTGGGAAGCCCGCTCCCCCCCAAACTCTGGACACCTTAGGTTTCACATAGCTAGAAGTCTCTGAGGGGACGACCGAGCCAGGAAACGGAGTCTCCAAAGGAAAACAACGATGGCTCCAAACACGCCCAGAAGTAGAAAAGTCCGCGCTGCTCACCTGGGGCGCGGCCGTCGGAGGCCTCGGGGCCATTCCTTCTTCTCAGGGCCAGGTTCCCAGACAGGGACTGGGGAGAAAAGAAAGGGCCTACTCACCCCACTGAAACCGCCGGCACCACCCCTTCCCTTCGTTCCCGCCTCCGTCCCTCAGACACTTTTCTCCCAGGAGAGGGGTGGAGAGGTGCCTGGGCCCCAGCGTGGGCCCGCCGCTACCCTTCTCCAAATTAAAGGCTCACCGCGTCCAGCACACCCTCTTCTGGCCACGCCCAGCCCCACCCGCAGGATGGTGGGCGCGGCCCCGCGGACACGCGCCAAACCCGTGGGAAGTGCCGCCCCGACCCGCACGTTCGGAATCACTGCCTCCTGGAGTTTCCAGATTTAGCGACCGCAGGCCCACCCAACGTCTGGGCCGGCTCTTCTCGTCCCCGCTTCAGGATCAGTCCTCTCCAATTCTGATGTACGGAGGTGCGGCCAAAGCCGCCTTAGACGCACCGGCCCGAACAATGGCCGCAGTGGCGGGGCAGAGCCGGAAGTGCGCCTGCGCACGCGGAGCCTCGCTCCCGCAACCCCGGTCCGGGCCAGCGCGCGGACTACACTTCCCAGAGGGCCCCGCGCGGCCTTTCAGAGGTCTCCTGAGAGTACTGCACATCTTCCCTGGCGCAGCGGTGGCGTGTGCTGTGAGGGCCCAGAGAGACAGAGCTAGGACTGAGTGCTGTCATTTTCACTTCTTCCTATAATAGTGTCTGAGCACCTCCTATTGTGCCAGGGGCATGTTGCTAGGATCGGGATACAACAGTATATCCGACAGAAAAGACCCTGCCGTTTTTTGTGGGTTTTTTTATCCTCACAGAAGGACATTTTTTTCCATTTTTTATTCAGATAGAGTGGGAGGGAGAGAGAGAGAAACATCGACGTGAAAGGGACACACTGATTGACTGCCACCCGCACGACCAACCAGGGCCGAGGACAAACTGCAACCAAGGTACAAGTCCTTGGTGGTAACTGAAGCCCGGTCTCCCTTGACCGCAGGTGGGCGCTCTAACCGCTGAGCCAAACCGGCCAGGGCAAAGACCCTGCTTTTGAGGACTGGCTTGCAAGCTTGTGGTGAAGGGCGACAGTGAAAACAAACGATCAACAAAATAATTTAATAATTTCAGAGAGAAACATCGATTTGTTCTACTCATTTGCGAATTCATTGGTTGATTCTTTTAAATGTTTTTATTGATTTTGTAGAGAGAGGAAGGGAGAGAAGAAAAAACACCCATGCATCAATTGTCTGCTTCCTGCAAGCCTCCCACCTGGGATAGAGCTAGAAAACCCCGCATGTTCCCTGACTGGAATTGAACCAGCGACCTCTTAGTGCATGGGAGGAGGCTCAACCAACTAAGCCACACCAATGGCTGGGTCATTTGATTGATTCTTGTGTGTGCTCTGATCCCAGATCAAACCAGAAACCTTGGCACATCAGGAGAATGCTCTAACCAGCTGAACTACCTGGCCAAAGCCTCAACAGAATAATTTCAGATACTGACTTCAGCTATAGGAATAAGACAGTGAAAGGGGTGTTGCAGCTTCATCACAAAAATGCTATTCCTATGCCTCTTCTATGCCATCTTACTGGAGGTTTGGACACTGACTCACCAGACCAAACTACTTTCACCGGAAACACAAGGTGAGATATTTAATGATATTTTAGGAGAAGAAAAAAAAAAAAGAACTTTCAGATAAATCCGTGGCCTGTGTGCAGAGGCAAATGGTGCTACCACCATGTTCTTTCATTCTTTGGTATTTCATTACTCAGGATTCTGTGCTCGGGACAAGATATAAATGATGGAAAATTTCAACACCGAGATAGGTAAAAGCCAGTTACAACCATCACATTTATATAATTGTGTTTTACATGTACACCAAAACGTGGTGGGTTCGATTCCCGGTCAGGGCACATACCCATGTTGTGGGTTTGATCCCTGAGTGTGTGTGGGAGGCAACCAATCACTGTTTTCTCTCTCACATTGATGTTTCTTTCTTTTTTTTTTTTTTTTTTTCCCATCCTCACCCAGGACACTCCTACATTTATATTCAGATAGAGTAGGAGGGAGAGAGGGAGGAAGAGAGAGAGAGAAACATCAATGTGAGAGAGACACATCAACTGGTTGCCACCCACACCATCCCAACAGGGGCTAGGGACCAACCAAAACCGAGGTATGTGCCCTTAGCGGGAACCAAACCCCAGAATCTCTGGTCCACAGGCCGACACTCTAACCACTGAACCAAACCATTCAGGGCTGATGTTTCTTTTTCTCTCTCTCTCTCTCTCTGTTTCTCCCCCCTCCCTCTCTTCTTCAAAAATTAAAAAAGAAAAAATAGTATGGGTGTTTAAAAAATTAATGTTTTCTACCACTGCCACATTAATATAATGCTTGAACAAGCAGAAAGCATAATTCATAAATATAAATGAGTTGTCTAAGGTGACCTCTGAGGTAGTGCTTAGTAGTGGAGACGTCGGCAATTGCAGGAACATGAGAGAGAAGAGAATTCCAGGTTGAAGGCACCTGAGGGTGCAGAAGCCCAGAGTTGGAAATGAGCTTACTGTGTTTTAGAAACATGTCTAAGGCAGCTGTAGCAGAGTGAGGGACAGGGAAGTGAGTGGACAAGTAAGCTGGGGTGGTTTGATGGAGCAAGGTTTTGGAGGCTGTGATAAGCAGTGTGGACTTTGCAATGGGAGCCAATGGATTAGCTGCAGCAATGGAGTCACTTACTGAGGGGAGATAGTTTTCCTTTTGTCCCAGAATTGCTAACCAGGACCCAGAGCTGAGATGAAATTATTCTGCATTCTAAAGAGAGGCAAAACAGTTGGGGCTAGATACTCTCAGATCTTACAAATGGGCCAGGTGCTGAATTTGCCCTGCTGCTATTATTAATCATTGCCTCAACTCCACCCCTTTTCCCCTATAAAGAGATTAGATTAGGAAAGAAACAGAATTCCTCAGAATAGCAAGGCCTCCACCTAGTGGGGAATGTGATGTTCTACTGCCCACTCCCAAGATCAATGTGAGAAAGAAAACTACTCAAACATTCAGAGAAGGGGAGGGTTTATAAGCTACCCAGTGCTTCCCCAAGCAAGAATAAGGGGAGTTAAAGCAAGAGTCTGAGGAGTGTAAGGAAAGCAGCATGAGTTTTCATTGTTTCCCTAGTAAGTGGATGAACTGGAAAATAATTGGTCTTTAACCCGCTGGCCCCTGGGGGGGTGGGGGGGGGCAGCTCAGAACTGTAAGAGACTTCAGAATTAACTGGGGGAGGTTGAAGCAGAGCCAGATCTCCCAAGTCAGGTATCCCTGGGTTTCCTCTAAGGAACTCACAAATGCACTTCTGTTTCTGCTAGTGTGGCTAAACAACTTTAATAGTGGATGAAATTATTTTTTAAATCTTTTTAAATGAATTGAAGAGCTGGAAAATTCATAAGGAAGACACAGAGGCCAAAAATGGAGCAAAAATGATAACTTCAAGAGGTTGATGAAACACTGAGAAGCTAGCTTTCACCTGGAAGTCATTTGCCAAAGAGCCTTTGTTTTTCATGGTACTGTAGGCACAGGCACCAGGTGATGAAACTCAAGTACCATCCACACACACACATCCACACACAAATACACACACATGCACCAATACAAATTGGGACTTCAAGGCCCTTGTCGGTGTGGCCCAGTTGGTTGGAGTGTCATTCTATACACCAAAAGGTGGTGGGTTCGATTTTCAGTCAGGGCTCATACCCAGGTTTCAGATTTTGGTCACGAGCTGGGTGTGTGCAGGAGGCTACTGATCGATGTTTCTCTCTTACATCAATGTTTCTCTCTCTCTCTCTCTCTCTCTCTCTCTCTTTCTCTCTCCATCTCTCCTCTCCCTTCCTGTGAAATCAATTTTTAAAAATTAGGGACTCCAAGGGGGAACACAGGTAAATTGCCTGTTTCAAACCGTGGTTGGCATTGAGGGCAAGAGGCAGAAAGCATCTCCCCTGAGACTGTAACTACAGGGTGGTTCCTGTGTAGATTTGCAGCTTGATTTCACAGTCCCTAGGTCCTCTAAAAACTGCAACTGATCATTTAGTTTATATGTTGGTCCTAAGCTAACAGTGCTTCCAGGAATCTGGCAAAAGCAAACATAGATTCTGCCTGGAGGAACTGACCTTCAGCCCAGGCTTCCCCAAATATGATCCCAGGAAATATGAGCTCACAGTCTTATTTTTAAAATATGTTTTTATTGATTTCTTAGAGAGAGAGAGAGACATCAATCGGCTGCCTCCTGCATTCCCCCTACTGGGGATCAAGTTTGCAACCCCAGCATGTGCCCTGACCAGGAATCGAACTGGGACCTCTCAGTCCTTGGGACGACACTCAATCCACAGCCACACCAGCCGGGCTCACAGTCTTTTTTAAAAAAATCCTCACCCAAGGATATTTTTCCATTAATCTTCTGAGATAGAGTGGGAAGAGTGGAGAGAGAGAGAGAGAAACATATTGATGTGAGAGAGACACATCGATTCGTTGCCTCCCACACGACCCCGACTAGGGCTGGGAACCAAACCAAAAACGAGGTATGTATCCTTGACTGGCATCAAACCCGAGACTTTTTGGTCCTCGGGCTGATGCTCTAATTACTGAGCCAAACCGCCCAGGGTTCACAGTCTTTTTAAAAATATATATTTTTATCAATTATTTTTTTAGGGAGAGAGAGAGAGAAACATCAATCAGTTGTCTCCCATATGCACCCTGACCGAGGATCGAACCCGAAGCCTGGGTATGTGCCCTGGCCGGGAATCGAACTGACCTTTGGGAGAACTGGGCAACACTCAACCAACTGAGCCACACCCACCTGGGCTGAGCTCACAGTTTTGAATTACAAAACACATAGAAAACAAGGACCCATGAATGACAGACAGTACGGAAAAATAGCAGAATTGAATTCATAACAACCTCAAATATAGGGAGTTCCCACAGAATTTATAATGTCTAATATGTTTCAAAGTTATTTTAATAAACTCAAGTAGAGGGTTGAGTATATGAGTAGAAAGCAAGAGACTAAAAAGTAATGTCAAATAGAATTTAATAAGAACCAAATAGAACTTGTACAAATGAAAATCTATAGGAAGTTAAATTTATACTTTACACACAGAGTTAACAGCAGATTAGACATAGCTGGGAAGAAAAATCAGTTAACTGAAGATAGACCTGAAGAATTTATCAACAAAAGGCCAAAGAAATGAAACTGAAAAAAAAAAAAAAAAAAGCAGAGAACTATAATATATCTACCTGGATTCCAGAAGAAGAGAAGAAGGGTACTGAGGTTATATTTGAAAGGATAAAGGCTGAGAATTTTCAGAACTGATGAAAGATACAAATTTACAAAACCTGGAGTACCAACATCCCAAACCAGATAACTAAAAAGAAATACATAATGAAACACATCACAGTGAAAGTGAAAAACACCAAAGAATATCTTTAAGGTAGCCAGGGGTGGGGAGAACAG